ATCTTACTCGAACTTGGTGTGTAGCGGAGCTCGTTACTGCGCGGCTGCACCAGCTGGAAACAACTCTGCTTGCCTTGCCTCATTTCTTCATACCTTCTGATGCCTTCATCGACGAGTTTGAAAGCATGGCTCAGAGCAAGATCGATCTTGCAACCTGGGGTTTCGGTACAGCAGACATCACGGAGACCATAAGGTGGCTAAGGACTCTGAGATTCTTCACGCTTCAGTCGCCTTTGGGGCGATCTCAGATTACCGATGTTGTGAACTTTCTGACGGGAACCAGCAGACCTTCCTCCGAAGTCGTTGACTCTGACTGTCTGATCCTTGCCGACCAAGATTCCGTGGAGGCCGTTGCAACAGCCCATATCTTGCGGCACTTCATGGCTCCCCATGTTTTGCACCTCTGCAATGTCTTGCCCAAAGTTCTGGGTGCCACAGACAAAATCAAACGAACCACCCAGAGCCTCGATACGAGCAATGTCAGCTATCGCCCTTTGTTACTGGTCATGGTGTGCACGCATGGCTGTCTCTTGTCATAGTTGGGTAGCTTTTTAGATTTTTATGGGTACTTAAGCCCAACAAGGAAGAACAATAAGATCTTTTGATACGATCCCGACCATGGGTTCAGGTCTCGTGTCTGGGCATATGGTGGACTGGGTCCTCCAAGCCTACCGAGTCGCCTCCTCCTGCGACTGGGTTCTTGTTAAGGGATTCAATTTAAGTTACCACAAAACAGCAACCATGTATTATGTACTGTAGATCTGTTGAGGGATTCAATCTACGTTACCATAATACAGAAACCACAAATTATGGACTGTAGATCCCTGTTATGGTATCTTAAAAGAGTTTCCTTAACGAGAACCCAGGCAATGTACTCCCAGTGACGGCAGAGGACGGCTTTCAGATCCCGCCGCCTGCGGTTTTGACGGAGCTTCAGCGGCATCCCAAGGTGCAGGCGGCCCGAGACTACAACGCGGCAGCCACGTACGTCAAAGTGCTGAAGGCGATCTTCGTTCAGGCGCAGAGGGATCCAAGGTTTAGGGTTTAGTATTTAGGGTTTAGGATCCTTAGACTTCGGGGGTATGATTCCTTGTCTAGGGGTGAGTGGAACGTGGATCCTAGAACTCAGGGTCAGCATTCGGGTCCTGCATCTTTCTGAGATTCAAATGGAAACTCATATGGAACCCATGAAGACTCGTATACGGCCCCGATAAATGAATCGTTTTTGGAGGTGGCCGTGCATTTCCTGCCGCAGTCCTTCTCCGAGTCAAGTTTGGAACTGAAGGCCAAGCAGGTGGCTTCGAGGCTACAGAGAGAGCACTCAGCGAATCTTAGCTCGCTGCTGCTTGGATGTTCTTGGAGATACACTTCGAGCTTTGGTACTAAGTACTTTTGCAAGGGGTATAGAGTAGAATTACAGTGCTTGCAAGAACAGCTCAGGCTTGACATGTCTGCAACTGGCTCGGAGACGCTCCGAACCTTTTCGTCTGGGGAGCCGACGGCACCTTTGAGAGCTCTGTCTGTGGACAGCGGTGTCGGTGAGATGCTAGCAATGATGCAGACCACCACGGAGAATTCACAGGAAGACTACGTCGAACAGGCTTTCTGATGGTCAGTGCCGCAGTACCCCCAAGCCCAACACTCTAAATCCAAAACCCCAAACTCTACACCCAAAGCCCTAAACCCCAAGCCCTTAAAGCCCGAAGCCTAGACAGCTACACACGAAAAGCGGCTGGAAGCTAGCAAAGCTTCATCGGCTTCACGACTTCGGAGTGCCCAGCTCGGGTTGGGCAGTTTACCTCACGTCAGCGGCGGCTTTCCGAAGGAAAGCGCGCCGGCGCGTCTGAGCAAGATTGCTACTCTTGCCAGTGGTTTTGGTAGGCCCTGGTACGGGTACGAGTGTTGGTATGAGCAACTGGCATTACTAGTTTGAGTATGTTTATGATCATGAAGACTCTGGTTACTAGTTCGTTCCTCGCATTGCAACGCCCGCCAAGGGTGGGTTTGTGGCAGCGGAAGAAACAAACATCAGAGGATATCCAAGCTCGGTGTTTAGGGTTTAGTGTTTCGGGTATCATGTAGCGTCCAGGCGGAAATTCCTGTTTTCCTTTGTGACTATGCACTTATTTTGATAGATCTCGAAACCCATTGGTACCGCTATACCCCTTGTATTGATGTCCATCACGCCCTTTATGCCCTGTATAACCCCGTATATCCCTTTTGCACCCTTGTTCAGGCTTAGCACATCCTATGCAACCCTGACCCCTAAACCGCAAAGTCTTTTCCCAGAGAGTCTAAAGGCTTGTGGAAAGTCTTTGGGAACCCGCCGTCTTCAGACCCAGGATCTGTGGGGCTTGAGGTTTAAGTGTTTAAGGGGTGTTATGGGTGTTTTCGTGGGTTTTAGTGTCTTAAGTGGTTTTTAGGATTTGCGGGTTCGTGGCTGGGATAGTGAGGCACGCAGATTCAGATGGCCATTCTAAGCCCTAGCCAATCCTGAAACTTGCACCATCCCCTGAGTTTCGTTGTGGACTTTCATGTGCGGTTCTGCTTTGGCTCAGGCCGACTGCAGTTCTGAGCAGCAGGACAAATCTTACTACTGCTACTGCGGCGCTTTTCTCTATTGCTAGATTCTGCTAGATGCTTGTGGCTTCGCCGTCGTTTTTGTCGTCGTCGTCTTCTTCGTCATCGTCGTGGCAGTCGTCGCCGTCGTCGCAGTCACAGTCGTAGTGGAGGAGGGGGCGGGGGCGTTTTGCTAGTTGTGGCTGTTGGTGTTGTTTTGCTTGATGACGTTGATGTCTTCGGGCTAGTGTTGGGTTTGGAATTATGCGAGATCGCGGGTTGGGGGGCTGCACCGGTGGCGGGGAAGGGAGGCAGTCACACTGGTAATCGAGTCGTAGTGGCAATGGCAGTCGAAGTGGTAGTGGTTGTGGCAGAGGTTAATGGCAGTAGTAGTGGTAGTGGTAGGACGAAGAGAACCATCAGAATTATGCACGCCGCCTCTTCGTCATGCATTATGCGAGCTCCATCACAAGCTCGGATTATTCATAATCCGAACAACCATCGTGTGGTGGGCAGGACGAATTTCAGTCTGCACGCCTACTAACGTTGCTGAATGGCGTTCGTCGTGTGTCACACTTGCCCGAAGATCTGTTGTAGAACCGTAGTTGTGCTGAGACATGGAGACGCCCGTGGAAAATGATCGTTATGCTGTGCACTGGCAGACTGCTGACGGTCACGAGTAGTGATGACATTGAAAGTTGTTATCGCCAGTAGTACTTGTTTGTTAACCGTTCTCATGATTGAAAAGAATCGAATGGTTACGCGGTAGTGACCGAATCAAGAGGGAAACGGATGTGACCTACGAAGCATTGCGACAATTCCTGCGAGGAAACTTGCTGTACAACATGTGTCTGTATGACAGACTATCAAATAAAAGACTACAACTAGCACAAAATCTTCTACAGTATAAACAGCAGAGACGGCCTTATATTCCAACCTAGGATGTCTTTAAGCCGGAGAGCAGAAGACAACATGGGCATCTTTGTGGAGCATTCTTGTTTCTCTGCCGCAGCTTTTTGAGGCGTTTTACTCGCGGCGGGTTTTGGAGCTCCATGCTCTGAGCTTCCTTGAGCGGGTGCTTGCTACCAGCAGACAGCTCCCAGCCCTCCGCAGCCGTGTGCCCGTGGGAAAGGGGTCTCAGCTACATGGTTCTATTTGAGGAAGTTCTTTTGTGGTTTTGCAGGGTTCTGCAATGTTTTTCTTGCTGCAAGGGTGTTCAAGGGTATCTGGTTGAAGGTACTTGATACTCTGAGCTCAAGCTGCAGCTACCACCACAGTATGTAACATGTCAAGTCCTGGTGACGGTGAAGTGTCGTGGCCTTCTAGGAAGCTTTATGAAGCCTTGTAAAACCCTATAACTACTACTATTACTATTTCTGTTGCTGTTACTATTACTGTTACTATCTCTTTTTCTTTTACTATTTCTATTACTATTCAAAGCCTTGTGAAAAGCCCAGGCGACCGCAGCTCTCGGCCTCGGATGCCCAGCCCAGGAAGGCTTGGACTTGGTCTCTGCTTGCTTTTGGCCTCGCCAGAGGCTGCAGGTCGCCGTGGCGACGAAGGACGGCGATGAAGGCAGTGCCTGGGTCCTCGTTGTTCGGTACTTTTGGGGTACATTACACTATAATTATAGTAAGGCACCCCAAAATAATATAGGTGCTTATTGAGGAGAACTGCTGTAAGTAAATGGAGAGTAGAGCGGGTAACATGTTGGTAGGGAACTGATAAGGAGAGCAAGTCGGGCCGAGTCTTTGCTACAGATCCATATTTATGCTACCTTGATTGGAGTAATTGGGTTGGAACACAACGCTGAACGAATTACTAAGGCCCCTCTACTAAACTCTTATAGAGCGCTCATAGAAGCTCTCATGGGGAATCTTGAAGAAGCCCTGTTCGAAGCATGAAGCAGTGCGCAGTAGCCCAGGTTCTTCAACAAGAGGTGCCACTTCAGACGAGGGAGCGGAGATCGGAAATGGGGGAAGTTGCTCCCCAATCACGACGCTTTCCCACCGCCACCGAAGGAAGGGGCCCCCAAAAGACCTGAATACTTAGAAATCGGCTCATGGAAGAGTTCCTGCAAGGGTTTCAACAACAAAAGGTTCTATAAGGGTTTAGTAAAAGGACCTCAGGCGGTAGAATTGGGTTGTGACATATGTTGTCGCATAACTGTAGCAACAGCCCTCAGGAGTAGTATTGGTATTTATTCAGGCCCCTATGTTGGGACATCCCATCTGACTCCCCATATCTGAGCCCCACAAGCTATGGACTTTCCTGTCAAAAGCTTCTGCCTATGTCACTCTTATGTCCCTTTTGGGGGCCCTGAGAAACAGGTTCCCACGACCTGGTGGCAATTGACTCATCACCTGCTCTTCTTCGGGCTTGGGCTGTGGACCGTCCTCTTTGAGCCATCTTGGGTTCCTGACTGGAAGCTGACTTTTTTCATGTACCTCTATGGTGACTTCATGTCGGCCTTGCTCCATAGGACCTTCGATCACGAGGAGTGCCTCAAAGTACCTGCTCTGGACTTTGTGGCCTACGGTTTTCAGATGCATCATGCCTGGCCCATGGAATCGACCCGGGGAGTTGGGCTGTATCGCCTCTTCTGCGACACTGTCAGGATTCAGTGGATCCTTCTTCTCTGCTTTGCCGCGATCTCAAACCACACACTGCTTGCTGCACAGATCCTCTACTTAAAGCTACTTTTTGGTGCCTATGGCTCCGCTGTCGGGCATTTCTATGCACACTTCCCCGAAGGCTCGAGGCCCTTTGTCGTTCGTATTCTGCAGCGCTTGCATCTGTTGCTGCCCCCGCAGCATCACGCTGTCCATCACCGTGAGCCCTACAACGAGAACCTGACCAGTGTGAGTGGGCTGACGGACTTTATCGTGAATCCGTTGCTGAAAGACTGCCCGTTTCTGCCCGCGCTGCTCACGCTGCTGGGTCTTTCCATTTTTGATATCCGACTGATCGAAGGCTTGTATACTGGCCTCTTCTAGTTTCTTTTCCTAGTGATCCCTTCGCCTTGATCCTAGACACTTACTTACCCCAAAACCCTCAACCCTAAATCCTAAACCCGAAGCTCAAACCCTGGCCCCGTCGAAGTGCCGAAGAAAACGAACCATCGATTCGCATTGCCAGGGCAGACGCAGGTCCGACAGGGCAGGCTGGTAGTATAGCAGCCGTCATAATTGGAATAGGGCTATTGAGTAGGGTTTTGGTGGTTCCTTATTATATCGTATGCCCCCCCAAACCCTATTCTAATTATTAAGGCCCATATATAGGGTTGTAGTTTTAGGGCTCAGGGTTTCGGTGTACTGGCGAGTTGAAGCAAGTATGCTGAAATCAAGCCGTGGGAAGCGTAAGCCTGAAGGAAAGGATCGTCTTTACTAGGTTCCTGAGTTGTAAGGGTACCCTTATGGCATACAGGTTTCGATGATAGTCCCCTTTAATTTCAGGGATCCCCTAAGGGTTTTATTTGGGTTCAGGGTTCATTTAGCGGTTTATATGAGGCTTTTTTGCACTTTTTGTTTTGGGGTTCCCCTATTACAGCCGAATATTAGGAAACAGGGTACCCTTATTGCAAAGGGGCTATTCAGGAACCTAGTTTAGAACAAGGACTTGGGTTCTTGCGTTTGTCAGTGCTCGGATCTTGCGCGCCCTTGAGCCTGAGATGTCACAGGATTTGTTGTCCTGGGCCAGATTCCTCTTTGCTGCTGGTTACCATGGCTTGGTTTGGTGCAGTGAAACCATTAACCCCTTCCCTAAGCAGTAGGACGCCGGCGTCGGCCGAAAGAGGTCTGGGCTCAGGGCCCCTACGATTTGTTGCGACGGCATAGCCGGCGACAGGCGCAATTTTTGTTATTTTGGACGGGTCCTTCGGGAAATCCCGCCAGCCAAAGACCGAGACTACAGACGAGGAAAGAACGAACAAAGCAGTCGAAGACATAGCACTATCGGTGGTGGTGCAGGCGGCGGTGGTGGTGGTGGTGGTGGTGGTGGTGGTGGTGGTGGTGTGGTGGTGGTGTGGTGGTAAGCTTGCAAAGGCAAGCCGCCGTGAACTAAAGTGGCATGCAAGTCGCCGAGCCGGCATCGCCAAGCTAGGGGCGAGCAAGAAATGTGAGGTTGGGAATGGTAGGCGGTCTTGCAAGATTGAGGGTAGCAGAGGAAGTCATGCTAGTCCTAAGGCCACTCAAAGCAGCGTGCGTTCGATAACAGTTCTCGTATAATCTGTCCGTAGGCTTGGTACTCGCCGGTGGTCGACATAAAGCACTCCTGAGCTGCTTGTACGGTACATCCCCAGCGATCAGTATGTCTTTATTCTAAACCCTTTCAGGCAGCAGGCTGAAGGTCCGAAGGACGTGCCTATTACAAACACAAAGAATTGAATTCTGAGGCGGATGCAGAAATCAAGGAGGCTGGTCTAAACCCATTGAAATGTGCCACTCTGTTACCCAACTCAGCCTCCACTCCGTTTCCACCACGCGTAATTCATCCCTTTCGACCCGGCGCATCCACATAAAGTCGGATCCTGGCACTCGCAAGCCTTTGTCCATGTGTGCATGAGGCATACAGGGATATATTATACGATATTTATGATAATGACACACCCCCTTCCCCCCCAAAATAGTATTTGTATAGGTAATAATTTAGGGCTCAATTTTGGATGTTCTGGTGTACCCCGCAGGCGTAGCCTCGACCCAGAACGTCGAGAGCAACCCTACAAGCCCTACGTACTAGCCCCGAGATCCCACACCGACCAACACTGAACCCTTCACACCGGGAAAGCGCACGGCTTTTAAGGCTTTTCATTTCTCACGGATAGAGAGGCCCATTCTGAAACCCTTAGCTGAAGCCCTTTCCGCTGCCATGCCTCTGTCGTGGCTGTCATTTGCCAGCGCGGCGATCCTTCTCCAGTCGTCACTCTGCTGTCGACACAAAGGGTTTTGGAGGCCACGCTGCGATTGCGAAGCTCAAGAGCTGACATGAAGAAGACCTGACGTCGGTAATGAAGATAGTGGAATTGTCGATGCCAGCTTGACACTGCAAGCGCTAAACTTACAAGTGCCGTTGCTGGTCGTCATCGCACCCGAAACCCTAAACCCCAAGCCCTCAACAATGAGCCTAGACTCTAGACCCTAACTATCCCCATAAATCCTAAATATCCCGATACACCCCCCCAAGAAAGTTTCGGGGTCCTTGTAATAAGGATCCTCGTATTTGGGGCGCCAAGTTAGGGCCCCCTATTTTCGGAAGCGCCCTCATAGTACCCTTATAGATCCCTGAAAGTAATCCCTAAACCCTAAAAACCTGAACTATAGGGTCCCTTAAATCTCCCATAAACTTCCGATGAAAGCTGAGGAGAGGCGTAGAAGCAGATCTCCAGATCGCCCGATCGGACCTGCGACTCGGGCTTCTGTAAGGCTTACTGTAAGGGCTCTTTTGGGTTGTAGGGTTTTGGAGGGTATTGGGGGATTTTAGGAGGTTTAGGGTTTTAGGATGGGTTTAGGCAAAGTTTTGGGATTTTTAGGGCCGTAGAGGGGTTCAGGGTTTAGGGTTGGAGGGACTTCGGGGTTTAGCTGTTTAGCTCCTAGGGTGGAGGGGCTTGTCTGGGAGTTGGGAGTCGCAGATCAGTGCCTTTGTCCGGATCCTTATCTGAAGGATCCTACAATGTTAGAAAGGTTTGCGTGGGGTGACTTATTTCTGAAACCCACCGGAATCCGATCTAGATGTTGCAGGATTGAGGGGTTCAAGGTATCTGGGGGGTTTGCTTCGGGTTTTCTAGGCACGGGACAAAGTTTGCAGTTTTGTGGCGCATTCTCTCGAAGTGAACTTAGGATTGTTGTCAGCCCTACAGGGGCCCAGGGTTCAGGGCTTAGAGTGCAAGATTGAGGGTTGCTGAGGCTTGGGATTTCGGCTTCGGTGTTTGGGTTTCCTCGGAGCGCAGGCCTTTCGAAAGCTCCGAGAGGCTGCAGCAGTAGTAGTTATCGCTACGAGTACAGCTGCTGCTACTACTACTACTACTACTACTACTACTACTACTGCCACTGCCACTGCCACTGCCACTGCCACTGCCACTGCCACTGCCACTGCCACTGCCACTGCCACTGCCACTGCCACTGCTACTGCTACTGCTACTGCTACTGCTACTGCTACTACTGCTGCTACTAGTGCTAGTACCACTATGGCTGTGAATACCACCACTACTCCTCGTTCTAGTACGCCTACGACCTCGCTGCCCTTGCTGTCAAGGAATACCACGAAGCTGCACCTGATGACCTTTATGTTCAACATGCACAGGCACTTCGCGTACCTGCAGGTAGGGCTTCAGCATGATTTCAGGTTTCTGAACAGGGGTTAGGGTTTAGGGCCAGTTTACAGTTCGAGAATGGGTTAGGCTTTGCATAGTACGGTTCGAGGTTCTCAACTTGCGAAGTCCGCCCGATCCAACGGGTCGAAGCCCAACCCCCCTTTCGACAGTATAAAGCTTTCCAAGACAAACCAAGACATGTTGAGCACCCCCTCAAGCACAGCAAAACCCTTCAAGACGTTCCAAATTTTGTCAACAACGCAGTTGGCATCCAAAAGCAACTCTCTACAACCCAACAACTACCGTGGCAAGGTTTCTGCAGAGGCCAATCAGATGTTTCCACACGTGCTTGGTCTCGGCATCCGGGGCAAATTATTCTTAGTATTACTACTGATCGCGATTCCTAGTATAGCCATTATTGCTACCATTGCTGCTACTGATTTTCCCTTTCGCTTAACGAGTCTTTTGTGGTGTTGGTGGTACAGTCCAAGATTCTATGGGGTGTTACAGGGTCCGAGGGGCTTCCAATGTTTAAAGCAAAGGAGGCTCAGAAGTAGCGAGCTGGGATCCGGAAGGACATATACTATTTTTGGTTTTGTACTAGACTTCTAGTACAGCAGTAGTTTAGCAGACCCAGAACCCTATTCTACTCCTTAAGGATCCTCTAGTAGGATTGCCAGGCTCTGGATCTTGGGGCTTCGAGTCTCAAGATTTACAAGGTTTCGGTTTTGCGGTTCAGGGCTGCGGGTTTTGAGTTTGAGCGGCCAGAGGTTTAATATAGGGGCCTTAACTTACTAGTCAGTAATACTAGTTTGGGAGTTCCTTATTGTATTGTGGTATACCGGGATTGAGGCCCCTATATTAGCGGTTTCGGGCGGGGCTGGGGGTTGAGCGAAGTCTTCGCTGGCATTGCCCATGTCGTTTCATGTCTTCACTGCCCATGTCATACAGGACCTAAATGGATTTAGGGTATAGGGTTATAGGACCTAATATAGGAGCTTCAATAATCAGCCATACTATTCCTTAGGCTCAGTATTCTAGTTATACTCAACCGTAGCCCCAAAACCCTCTTAAAGCTCTTCAGGCCCCTATACTAAGGCAAGGCCAATTCCTGGGGCACGATGGAAAAAGCAAACGCGATGCGGACCTTTGCTTTCTCGCAGAATGACCAGGATGTCATGATTCTCGGAGTGCAAAATCAGATGCTGCATCGATTTCTTCAGGGCACCGGATCTCTCTCAGCCCGGTAGCCGAGGATTTTTGCCGACGCCTTTGATTCTCTGGTTCTCGGCGGTCGGCCTGAAATACTCCGAAAGTTTGAGGAGCTTGAAAGCGAGTCTGGGCGCAGCATCGTCATCGGTGCTGAGGAAATCTGCTTTCCAGACTCGGAGAACTTCCCTGAGATGACACCCCCGGCGAAGCACCGCTGGCGCTATCTGAACAGTGGTGTGCTTGTGGGTCGTGTGCATGCCTTCAAGAAGATGCTGCCGGAGCCCATACACGAAAACGTGCTTGATCAAGTGTGGTTCCAAAGATACCGCAGAGACAATCCGGACAAAATTCTTCTGGACACTGAGTGCAAGCTAATCTGCAATATACTGAGCCTGCAGGAGGACCGTCATGGGGTCTCGTCCTGCATGACAAAAGCAAGCAAAGCAGTTAGATCGTGAGCAGGTAAAGACATGAAGGCCAGACGACACACCCACAGCCCTCGGTGCCACTGCCACCATAACAACAGCAGCTGCAAAGGCAGCAACAACAATTGCTCCTCCGACTGCTACTGCTACTGCCACTGCAACTATTTTCACAGTGTCTACTTATAATACTAAGACGACTCGAACTCCTACTGCTGGAGGACGGTGTTGACGTGGAGGGCAGTCGGCTACATGTGAGGCCCACCGGCACAGCGCCCGCACTGGTCCACTTTCCGGGCTTCGGCCATCGTCCCTTCGGACAGAAGCAATACGTCCCTGTACGTGTGTATTAAATCATATATTTATATACATATACATATACGTATACATATACATATGATACCATATATATATATATATATATATATAGATACATATGCATATATATATATATATATATTCACATACATATATACATTTATACATATATATACACACATATGTATGAATATATATATATATATATTCATGGCTTAGAAGATGTCTGTTAACATAAGCGAATACAAA